TTGTTTTTGATACACTGGTTTATGGATGTATAAAATCCTATAATACAGTGTGAAATTGGGAGGAAGTAGGGAACGGAACTGGAAAGGTCATAAAATCTTCCTTGTCATGAGTTCTGTGGGAGTATTTAAGTTCTTTGAGTCTGAGAAATGTGGAGTATTATGGATTTGGCAATGCAACTTTCACTCAGAAGGAGGAAGCCATGGCTAGAATGCTGAGGAGGAAGATGTAACAGCTTTTTGAAAGCAAGAATATATTTGCATTTACCAAACTGGTAAAGGCATATAAAGTAAGGCATAGAAGAAGGAAATTGCCCTAAATGTATGTATGGGATGGTAGGCTCCAAGTCAGCTATTTCTTACCAGAAATGAGATCTTGGTATCACTGCAGATAGTCATATTAGAACTCTTGGTGATAAAAAAGGTGTCATGGTATTTCTGAGAGAAGAAGTAAATAACAAACAGGAAGCCCTATGCTATGGTTTAAAACTATAGCATGCTGAATGCTTCTTACAGTGCTTTTCTCCCTCATCTTAAAAGGGATGTCATGTAACAAAAGCAGAAATCACTACTTGTCTGTGTTATACCAACTGGCATGTTTGTCTCTGCTCTGAATCAGGCAAAGTAACGTGCTGATTTTTTAAAATTTTTTTTTAATTGCTTGGATTTCAATCAGAACACATTGCAGCCTAGCTTAAAATGCAGGATGAGGCAGGTACAGCTGAGGGATGGATGATTTGTGGAGATGATGGATGCAAATGTCTGAGAGACAGAAGTTCTTTTGCTGAAAGGTGCAGTTTTAGAGTTTGCTTTCAAGATTGAAAAGACAGGTGAGACAAGATGGGCTGAACTGAAGAGGAAAAGACAAATCATGGTGAGACAGAAAATGGGACCCTGAGTGCAGGAAAGACATAAGCATAGCCTAACTTGGAATTTGATACCTCTAGCTTGGGGGAGGAAAAAACGCCTAAAACTCTGAATTTCTGTTTATGCTGAAGGGTCTGGTTAGATGAGTTTGTGTTTTATTGCTTTCATATGAGTTGCTTTCAGGGATATTTTTGCCTGCGTGTCAGGGAGAGATTGCTGAGTGAGGACATGTGAATGCTTACAGAACGTATATCTATAAGTAAAGTGTCAGCTACGCCAGTTCTCATCAGCAGTTTTACTTGAAAATGCTGCCTGCATTTTGCCTTCAGAGTTTTAGGCCTCTCACACAAAAGGCTGTGGGATGGTTTCCAGGAGAGAAACACTAGTTTGCATATCCAGATAATTCATTTTGTTTGTAAGCAGGAACTATTTGGTATTTCTTCATTGCTTATTCCTTCTTGGTAATGCAAGAAAATAAAATTCTTTTCTTTGATGTATCTTTAGGTTGTCTTCAAAATTGCGGCACCATTTTAAATTGTCTTCAGTGTATTCTCATTACTTCCCTGAAACTGGGATACCAGAAGTGACAACTTGTCATTCCCGAAGTGCTGTCACTGTGGATTATATTTTCTATTCTGCAGCAAATGATGATACTGCTGACCAGCCAGGTAAGGAAACCAACTTTTAATTTTCATAAATGCTAAACAAGAATATTTGTTTGCTGTTTTAAGAGAAGTGTAGTGCTGATTTCATCCATGTGAAGTTCCTCACAGGTTTGTGGTAGTGCTTTGAATGTCAGGTGTTACCTGAGACACGTGGCTGACCTTGTCTGCTCTTCACAGCTGGACTTGTAGTGCCACACAGGGCAAACCTTTTCATCTGACTGGACATCTCTGTAGTTCCTGTCTCAGCATGGAGACAAGCTGGAGGTACAGGAAAGCAGCAGTGGAAGTAGCACCTGAGAAGTACTTCTGTCAGTAATGCAGGCCAGACCTACAGCAAGGCAGTATTCCCAATCATCTGATCAACACAATGGTGAACAGCAATTTGTGATGTGCATTAAAACTGATAAACGAACCATTTCCTGGCAATTTACTTCTCAGCTTGTCTTGCAGTAATTTCTGCCAAGTAACAGACTCTTGGCCTTTGTTCTGAGCACGGTCACTGGCACAGGCCCAGCTGTCACTCTCTGGGTTGCAGTTGCAGCTAAAAGTCACCAGATGGTGCAAGAAAGTCGCGGTACCTCTGTGGGAGTTTTGTGATGGGTATCACAGTGTTTCTCCAAGCTTTACTGCTCTGGGATTCGCTCCGTGGGTGCTTCTGAGCAGTTTGCTTTCCATGCCCTTGTGAGTTCTGTGTTTTATGCCATCAACAAACATCAGTGCATTGCTAGCACATAAATGTCTCTGCAGAACTTGGAGCAAAGAAACCTGGATTCCATTCCTGCTCCCACTGTACAGTGCCACTGATTTTTATAACTTAACATTGTTTTTTCAGTTTGTGGAACGAAAACACCACCTTCATCTCTTGTAACTTGAGACTAGATTGTTAAAATTCATTGAATCGATTCACAGAAGTCTCGTTTGTCATAATGTGCACAGTAAATGCTACTTAATGTAAAATGGCAAATACAAAAGCTTTGACTGAAAAGCGACAATATGGGAAGTATTTAAATGACTTTGGAATGCCATGTGATTTAATGCAGTGCTGTGTGATTGCAGAGCGCATCTCTGCACAAAATTTAATCCTAATTCACCTGTTTATATATTTTTATACCATCATTATATGTTTTTTGCATCATCAGCACCATCATTGCTTCAGCAGAGATACAGCACTTTTTTCTTTTTGCACTTGTTTTTCAAATAGATTGTTCCTACATCAGAGTACAGAATGGAACCAAACTTGAATTTTCCAACTACTTTAAACTAGTACAGTTTTTATTCATGAGCTCTTAGAAATTAAGCCTGGTTTGGATTTTCAGTTTTCTAATGACCTGGGCCTCTGTATTTAAAGCTGCCAATGTCTGTACAAGTGAATTTTAAATGTGGTCTAGGCTCACAGATTAGTTTTTTCCATTTAAAGGGTTTTATTTTAAAATATTCATGCTTTATTCTGTCATGTTTATCCAGATATTTGGTTTGGTATTCAGGATTTCCTGTAACCAGGGTTCAGTATCTACCTAAGTCCTGCAGGGCACAGTTTTGCTGAGTGTACTAAATGACATTAACCACTGCATGCAGACCAAGCTCTCTGTGGCAACACACTGCTCCTTTGTAGATATGCAGGTGCTGTCCCAAATGATAAATTTGTCTCAAGACCTGGTGGACATGTGCTCTAGAGCTGCCAAGAGATCTTTGCAGTAAAAAAACTTTTCTTTAAAGCAGCAAACAGCTGCTGGGTTGTTGAAGGGCTGGAAAGCTGGCAGATGGCAAAGGATGAAGCTGTTGAACTCTCTTAAGGAGTTCAGCAGTTGCTGGATAGTCCTTTAAAGTATCTCTTTGGGAAGCCAGTACCAGGGCGAGCCAGGAAGTTCTGAATTTGCTGAGAACTTTCACACAGAAAGTATTTCTGTCAAAAGTTACAGCTGCAGTTTGTGCTGGTCCTGAAAGCACTCAACTTGCCCAGGATCATCTCTGCACTCTAAAAACAGTAGGTAGGGTTGCTGAGTAGTTGTCCAACTTGAATACATAGCTCAGGAACTCTAAATTTTGCACATCATGGAAAGATCTCAGTGGAATTTCTCCACCTGAGCTGAAAAAGCTGGTTGCTCATTGATGATGGGCAAATCATGACTGACAAATCTAGTGGCCTTGAGGGGCAGGGTTACAGTAATTGTAGAAAAGGGAAGAACAACTGAATATCTACCTGGGCTTGTGCAACGCATTTGACATGGTCCTGCCTAGCAGCTGGAGAGATTAATTTGGTTGCTGCACCACTCCATGAATTGGCTGGAAACAAACAGTTGCCATCAATGCTTTAAAGTCCAGGTGGAAGAAAAAAGTCCAGAAAAGTGGCATTTCTCAGGGATCAGTATTGGGACCAGCGCTGCTCTATCCGTGCAAGTGTCCAAGGTCAGGCTGGATGGAGCTCTGAGCAACATAGTCTAGTGGAAAGTGTCACTTGCCCATGGCAAGTGGGTTGGAACTTGATGATCCCTAGGATCCCTTCCAACCCAATCCATTCTGTGTAATTGTGCAGTAATTGCAAGGCTCGAGTCATGTTCACTCTTGCATGAGCAGTGTGGTGTTTCATCTGGGGAAGGAGGTGGGGGTGGATTTCTTAGGCAGTTACAGGAATAGGTAGCAGGAGATAATGGAGATCCCTCGCTTACGATGAAAGGGAACAGAAAGCTAGAATACCTTCATCCTTATGAGCAAAAGTGTCCATATGACCTGCCTGCTGGGGAACTGTGTGCTTGAGGATACAGAAATAAAATGTTATGTGAACCAGTAGCTCTAAAAAGATACTTACCTTCACAAGTGTCAGCTGTTGTCCAAAGTAATGGACTGGATTATATGAGGCTTTTTCAGGGGAGTTACAATGGACAAATAAATGCATTTTCCTTTTTATTTCTATTTACCCCTCCACAAAATAGTGTCCTTCTGAATACTTTGAGCTCTACTGATGAAACTCTATTTTGAGTCGTAAAAGAATTTCTGAACTGTTGTATTGGTGATTTTGCATGGAACACTAACAACTGTGCATTATTGCTGCCATACTGTTTTCCTCCTTCTACGTCTATATGAACGTGTAATATTTTACCCACACTGATAAACATTGCCTTTTGGTTGGTTTTTTTTCTAACAGGAGCAGAGGATTCTTTTTGTGGAGGTCTGAAACTTCTTGGCAGGCTGGCACTTCTAACAGAGAAAGATCTTTGGACTGTTAATGGTCTTCCCAATGAAAAGAACTCTTCTGATCACCTGCCACTGCTAGCAGAGTTCAGGCTTATTGAACGGTAATATTGAAAGGACTTGTGGTGTAGGTAAAGTTCCCTTTACCTTCTCCCTCATGGGATTATTATTTTTTTAAAAGCTTCATTCAAGCACTGCTGGTCCGGTTCAAATAAGTGTTCCTGCATGCTGATTTATTAGTGTTGTATAAAGTAGACTTTCTAAAGGGACTTCCTTTTAAAAAAAAAAAAAAAAAGTTTAATTTACTTTATGAAGTCTTTTAGGGAGAAAAAGGATTTTACATTAGCTTCCTCTTTGATAAAGGAAAACATCTGTGCCAGACTCCAAATGGCATTATTTTTAATTAATACGTTGTAAATGATTTTTATTGTGAATCACAGTAAAAAGGACTATTCTGAGAACTGTGTGTTTCCTCAAGCAAAGGGAATGTGTTTGTGTGCCTGCAGCATTTTATGAGTTGAAAATAATGTTTTACTACAAAGGTGCTTTATGGACACTTCCATCTTAATACTTCTGCAAAGGAATTTACTCAGTGTTGTTGGTGCAGAGGCTGCAAGATTGAACTTTCAGAGAAAGAAAGGCATATAGGCAAATACTTACTCTTTAAGAATTTGCTGCTTAAAATGCTGAGGGCTTATAGGTAGCATTCACTGAAATCTTTTTTAAAAAATCTGAAATAAAGCTAAGCTTAATGAGCACACCACATCACAGGAAACTTTACTGATCTATGCAGGAGCAAAAAAATTAGCCCTTGACATGTTGCGGTTTCATACATATTGAACAGCTGGTGACAGGGTGGGTTTTTTTTTTTTTTTCCATTTAGTTATTAAAGAACCTGTGCTTTGTCTTAAAATGACAGATCTTGAGGTTATTAAATTATCATGGTTTTATATTTACTCTCACTGTGCACTCATAAACATTCTGTATAAAATAAAATTTACAAAGTAATTTAAAAACCACTAAGCTGCCTGAATAGGAAATGTAGAGGGGCTGGAAACAAATCTTGTAACTTGATCAAATGACACATGGATGTGTATGTTGAACCAACTTGGAAGTAACAGAATTGTCTTTCAGTGTAGTGCTGGAAAACCTGCACCCATTCAGACACACTTGTCTCCCAGAAACACGTGTGGAATTTTCATCTGTGTTGCCTTTCCCAGACTGCAGACAACTGCAAGTAAAGAAGCTCCTCAGTCCATTACAAAACATAAGCACCTGCCAAAACATTCAGCTTACATTGCTGAAAATTTGACTTTTATCATAGTCATAGGTAGTTGTAATTTAACATAGTAGTTGTAACTTTCTTCTTCTCTGTTAACAGTGAGGTTGATGCTGAGGATGACAACCTGTTTGATCCTGGCTGCTGTCTGGTTTCAAGCATCTGAGTAATGTCATAGATGCCAGCATACTTAGATACAGGCAAAAAATTTCTGGGTACACCCACATTACAGCTAACCCTTTGGAGCAACCCTTGTTAAGAGCAAAAACAAAAAAAACTGCACATGAGTCATAAAAAAAAGACTACCATGATACTTTTATTGAAGTTTCATGCTGTGCATATACAAGTGATGAGAAAAAGCCCAAAAAGTCATGCAAGTTTTTCTACACTATTTGACCACTTTGCTGTCACTTGAACCACACTTAAGACAAATGCCATCATAAGCAAGTTTCAAGAGAATATTTCAGCAGAACTTTAAACAAGGACTAAAAGCAATTTGTCAACACACCTCTACAGCATTAAAAAGCTTCAGTATCAGTTAAGAGAAAATAAAGTATATTGGACAAGGGTAGAAACTATATACAACCATTATTTGAGCTGAAGTAAACCATAGTTTCATAGAAAAAAAGTTGCAACCTATCAGATAACATTGTGCTATAGGATACAGCTGATAAAAAGTTTTTCCACATCATTTTATCCATGAGAAGTCATTAAAAAAATTATTTAGGTCACAAAACACTGGGCAGCACAAAGTTTGAAACCAAAACTCTGCAGCTGATGTCAAATCACACAAGAATTTCTACCAAAAAAGTATTTCCCTCTCTTCAGCTTCACTCCTTAACCAAAAAAAAAATCTTACTGTGAACACAGGAGTGGTAAAGTTTAGAGAAGGAGGGATAGGAAAGGCCCTCCTGTTATTGATATGGTAAACTTGGATAAAGAGGTGTCACACTTTCAAAAAGTTTTCTTTCTAGAGCTTCTGAAGTCTTAATTAGTAGAAAGCCTTTCATTGGCTGTAGAAAGTTGCTGGGTCTTGGTTTTTTCTTCCTGTCCTAGGCAGGTGAAATTCAGTTTTTTTGAGCAATGAGGTCTGTGAACAAGCAGTTCTTTCCTTCTACATTCATTCCTTTTCTGGCTGATGGAAATGTTCTAGGAGCTTGAATCATTCCATTTCAATAAGCATTACTGTCAGTCTGTAACAGCATCCATCTTCATCGAGATCCCAAAAAATAAGTGCCCAGGAGGGGAGGTACACCAGGCCCATGGCAGCATCATCTATGAGCACAGCACAAAGGATAGAGGCTGGACGTGTACAATAATCCAGTTTATATTTAGGCACCTAGTGAAACATTTCCAGGAATGCAGCACTCAAATGCTTCCAGAGAACTTCACTAAGTCGAATGGTGGACCCCAGTGAGTTTTACCGTGTCACTTGGGAACACTGCTGTCCATCACAGGTCCTTAGCCAAGTCTTAAAACAAAACAACTGAGCAGGGAGGAAGCAGACAAGCTTGATTTTCATCTATTTCAGTCACACTTCCTTATTCAAGTCTGACTAAGCAGTAGTTACTACAACACATGCAGGAAAACTCCCTGCACAGCACAGCAGAAGGTTTAACTTCAGCCTGCCATGCCTGATTTAATACAAGGTTTCAAGGCATCACCATCAGAGACTGCTCAGCCTTTCAAAGACAAGGTTCAAATATGCACATAAATGTGGAAAGAAAAGCACATGGACTCAGGTTAGCAATTCCCACAGTTTTTCCGTTATTCCAGGTACTACATATATGAGAAAAAAGCTGACTTGTCTCTACAAAACAGCAATCTCTGTGTTTTGTGCTTCAGCGGTATAGTTCAGAAAGACTAAAAGCTTGTGACAAAAGTACAAAAAAATTATGAAAGTTTAAAAATTCATTATTCATCAATTATCATCATTTAAAAAACCCCAAACCTCGTATCTTGCCTAACAAGATGTCAGTGTTAAGAATACAGGTGCATATTACTGTTACTTAACATCTTTCGGCAACATGCAGAAAATAATAATACAGGTGGCAGTAAAACATCCAGTGCTGTTTTAATACTCCCAGTAATGCTGGGAAACAGTACAAATCGGTTAGAAAACAATAATACTGACAGTTTTGCATATCTATTAAGTCTAGTGAGGTAATATTGATACTTTAAAAACTTATGCCACTTCTTCACTGCTTGCTTTTATTGCTGAATTAAAGATTAATAGTGAATTTTTTTTTTTTTTAATTGCACTGCACCCCAGCACATCTTAATACTAAGAATATGAATTGTTAGTTACTCCAATGCAACCACCCAGCACAAGGCCAAGTTCAATTAACACTTGTACAGGGAAATTATATTTGAAGAAACTCACATGAGTGAAGTCACCTGCTACATGATGGGAGAGAAAAAAAATCTCATACCCTGGCAAATCTAATTTTAGGTTCCCTTCACTGATGCCTTTTCTATAAATTGAAATAAATACTGCCACCAAAAAAAAATTACCCCCTATTTTCTAGGTCAAACTTTTATTGTGAGAGTATGTAAGTTAAAAAACAGTCCCATTCCTTTTTCCTTCCAAGAGAGTGCAGGTAAAGTGCAGCGGCAGCAGCGGGGAGCCCTCTGGAGTCCGTGGCACGGCTGTGTCAGATGCGGAGCTGGTAGCCCACCTCGTTGAGCGTAGCCAGGTCTCCTTTCTTGTCCAGCACCGCCGGCCTGTGCACAGGGGAGAGAAGAGGGCGCTGCGATCCCGCATGGCCTGCACGTGTGGAGAGCACAGCAGCCACACAGGGAAAAGCTCGCCTCACAGGAGGGTGGATAGAGCTAATGTTGTCATCTTAAACACAATCCTGGAAAATCTGCTACAGGAACTACTGTGATAGAGCTATCTGTGTGTTGTCTCTGAGGCCACGCAGCAGTGAAGGACAAGCTGAGCCATGCTGGGATCCAGGATGTGAGCCTGAAGCACCCCCTCCTCCTGACTTGAGGGAGGGCCTAAATGAGTAGCTACGACTAGACACACCCCACCTGTCATCTACCCCGGAGCAGGACTCCAGCTTTCAGAACAAAGCCAAAACAGCTGAGAGCAAACAGGCAGGGCCTCTGACATGCCCACTGCGTGTTGGCTGTCCCCCAGCCTGCCCCCTCCTCCTGATTGGGTCTGTGTGAGGGGCTGGAGACCACCAAACAGGGTGGACTCCCTTCAGCCTCCTGCCATTCAACATTCTGATACCATTCACCTGAGCAATCACACACACATGGATGCTGTTTAGGCCATTCAAGTATTCGGACAGCCTGAACCAAAGGAAACCTTGAGCTATCAGTCTCTTTTTTTAGCAAGGAATTGAAAAGCTCCTGCAACAAAGTTATCAAACTGAAACTAGCCCGCTGATTTATAGTCTGGAAGTGTCTAACCTGAGAATTTATTGTAGGCTCTTGGCTGCTTTCACACTAAGCCGTCTGTCTTTTCTAAAGACAGACATTGTTTAAAACACACATTTCTCTAGTACTCCATAGCACGTCTGCTTCCCTGCAGAAACACAGCTAAAGCCCCAGCAGTACAATGGGAGGCTGATCATGGCTCCAGTGCTTTCAGCTGCTCAGCCCTGGCTTCCAGCTCTGTGTGCTTACTCTTTGCTCACTCTGCAGCAGATGTGACCCCTGAGTTTGCACAGCCAGGCTGGCGCTTATCTCCCCACTGCAGGCTGCCAGCCCATTCCCACTGGAGCAGCTCAGGGCAGGCAGCAGGCCCCCGAGAGGCAGCAGTGTCACAGGCAGGCTGGAAACCAGGCAAAGCCCAGCCCTGCCTGTGGCACACTGCTGGGGCGCACACCAGGGAAGAGCTGTACTGCTGCAGCCCCAAGACAGAGTGTATAGCTCACACATACTGCATGCAACAGAGCCTCTGAAATATTTTTTAATTCCTCAATTCAATAAGGATTTTTTTTACTTTTTTCTTTTTAAGAGCAGAACTGCTAACACCAGATCCCTGCTGAGAATCTGCACAGCATTTGAGGCATCTAATGCTCTTCTGCCTAGTGGCACATTGAATGAAACCTGTTGCTTTGCCATTTATCTAAGCACCTCTCATAATAACCTCACCATCCTCACTGTAGTACTGCCCTGCACCATGCTTCTTGTTTGTCTCGGTTTAAGTAATTCACAGAAGTGAAGGAGTCTTCACTGGTCTTTCTCACTTGTAGGAAGGGATCACACTTAAAAGAAATCACTGTAAGGTAATTTGCATTTTTCCACATTATTCCTTCCAAGCAGATGGGATTTGACTAATCAGTAAACAAGTACAAGCTGCATCCCTCAGAGCTTATGTAGGAGTCAGAGACCAGCAAGAGATGCACTGTATGAAATTTCCAGTGTCCTTCCTTTCCCCTTCTCTCCAATTTAGGGATTCTCTTCACGCCTTTTTCTCCCTCCCTTTAATTAAGGTCACAATATGGTTTTAATTAAACATGCCTGGATGGTAGTACCTTCGCTGATTATCCAGGAGAGATGGGGAGTCACTGTACACCCATGATGACATGCCTATTTCCACCCATTCACAATTGTCTGTAGCTTTTAGCTACAAACAGACTGGCCTCCATAAGTTTCAGGAAAAGACAAGACTTGGACCAGAGGCACCACAGATCCCATTCTCCTCGGCTGGCAAATGACCTTATGCCAAACATCCCTCTGAGGCCAGGGGCCTCTGCTTTACTGGCCCATCAGATCACACCTCCTGTCCAAAGTACCCTGTCCACGAGCAGGTGAGCAAGCTGTGCCCAGATGCTGGGCACACAGGATTCATGAGCTGTCTGCACTGAAGCTGCCTGATTTACACATCCTAATGTAATCCTGCCCCCTTGCACATCCATGATAAAAAAGACTAGCAGAATTTCACTTTCAGCAGCTACAGTGGGCTGGAAGCACACAAGGCCAGTGTTGCCAGACCACTCGCAAAGCATGCACGTTAAGAATCAATGTGAAATTGAAAAGAAATAGATCTGGTGAGCTGACATTTAGGAGCAGAGATTCTCCAGACTGCTGCATGACCCTCCCTTCCAAACTCATAGCAACTCTCCCAAGCCCCTCCAGCTCCAAGAACTCCTAGTGAGGATGAAACACTTCACTGCCTGTTCCAATACAGGTCTGCAATTTACTGCACCCTTCTACTTTGGGACTTCAGAGGATGGGCAAGTGGACACAGTAAAGCTTCAGATTCTCCAGCAAGACTGACACCACCCTCTATGTCTATAACCTCTGCATCCATGCAGGATCACACCAGCTGTGGGCTGAGAGCACAGGGACTGCTGCACAGCTCAGTTAACAAGCTGCAATTTGACTACACACCAGCCTCCTAGGCAGGCATGCATTGGGTATTGCATTGCCACCTGTCCTGCAATGTGCCCCACCTGCCTTGCAGCTGTATTTCCAAGCTGAAAGGCTATTGTGGGCTTGCTGGCAGCCACCACTAACATTTACCTAATAACGTTGATGGGGCAAGGATGAGAAATTAAATGTTTGTGGCTGTGAAATCCTCTTCCATCCTTAAGCACAGTTTCAGCCTTTGTCCTTCAGAAACAATCCAGCCAAGATACTCTAGTTCACACTCCATATCCTTCAGTGGGAGATTTCTCCCAGCAGGCCCATATAATTTTACTGTTGACAAAACCCAGGCTGTAATAACAGCTTGTCATCAGCAGGTGAAGCCTTTCAAATTAATGTATTATTCTGCCCCTGCCAGCTCACACTGGAGCAAAATACTTCTCTCCCCCTCCCCAGCAAGCTCAAGAAAGCTGTAATTACAGCACATGAGTAAGAGATTCACAAAGAAACAAAACAGTGTTGATAAGCACAGCCATTCTTTAGCTTGGATTCCAGCCTAAAGCCTAGCAAACCTGACTGCTTCCTATTCTGTGTGTAACACAAAGGCCTCTCACTCCATCAGGTTCTCAGAGATCCATCAATATGGAGAAGAGAATACCCCATTTCTCCTGTTGTATTTCTCACCTTATATCAACCTCTGCACGTGCTGGGATGTGTCATTCAGCTCATCCCTGACCTGGGGATGCCATTCCCCCTTCAGGGCTCACAGCTCATCACACTGCATCTGAGTCCTGCATCTTCTATCAGGGTGACCCAGGGTTTATTTTAGAGTTACATATAATTTGCTCTTGATACAGAGCAACAGAACAGAACCACTGAGCAGGTAACAAGTGCTGAAGCCACTGCAAGGCCACCTGTACACTCCCTGTCTTTCTGTCCTGGAAAAACAAAGCTGCCAAGGAGAGATCAGTCACTGCAGAGCAGCCACATGCCCAGCAGCTTTTTCAGGAAACCACCTCAACTGGAGAGTCTCCAAGCCCAGTGACACTCATTCCTCTCCAGAAATACTTCATCCACTCCACCAACTGCAGAAGCACTATCAGAAACTCAAAAATTAAACGGTTCCTCAAAGAGAATCTAGGAGGTGAAGAAGCCTGAAGCAGCTGAGCCCATTACAACTATAATTATCTATGCACTAAACAAGGAGCTCTCAGTGATGAAGCCCAAAGTACAGCATCGTGGACTGAGTGTGAATGAACATGTAAAAATAAAAGCTTGCTGTGAAATCATCTGCTGCTAACGTATCTTGAAGTTATCTTTAGAAGGTTAGTCTAATGTCTTTGTTAGCTGCTTCAAAATAAATAAATAACTGCTGAGACAGTAGTCTGGGAGCCTGTTTAAAAAGCAATGATCATAAATATGTGACTAATCTGGGTTACATATAGGCTTTCACAGTTGTCAGCTTCCTGGCATGGAGCACTACAGCTAGAACTCAGCTCTTCCACATCTAAGGTAGGGGAGTGCCAGTGGCTGTAAAGGGTCTGTGCATCTGGAAGCACAGTTTTATCCATTTAGAGGTATTGCATCCATCCCTCCCCACACAGCTGAAGAACAACTCTTAGCTATGACACACATGGAAAGCAGCCTGGGTTTTTTCTGAGCTGATTAAAATCAAAGAATACAATTCAAGTGATGTTGTCACTTTGGAAAAACAAGTTTACTTTTCCCCTGTCTCTGTACACTGCACAGTGCAAGGACTCTGCACGAAAGGGGCCATCAGGCAGCAGGAAGCACAGCAATGCCAGGACATCAGCAGTGCCAGCAGCTTCTGGAGCCTCTCTGGTAACAAAGGCACCTGGTGCCGTTTTCCTGTACGTGCCAGTGATCACGGAAGTTTTGTACAGCAAAGTAACATCAGCAGCCTTCCCCTGTGCCCCAGCAGGAATGGTGGCAGGAATACTCACGATTTATCTCTCCTGCAAGCCCGTCTCTGAGGGCTACCTTGCCTCCGGCGAGGGGACAGCGACTTCCCCCGGGGTCTCTCCTTCATTGGAGAATGGGCACTTGAGGGTTTCAGAATCTGTGAGAGATGGGGGAGGGAAGGAAGTGGCCTTCAATAAAGGCAATGATTCACTGCAAATAAAAATTTAAAATAAAGGGCCTCATACAGTAGCAGGGATGGCACACAAAGAGCCTTCAGTCCCTTGGGACTTATTCAAACCCTGCCCAGGTTAAGAGGAACTCAAAGCTGTTATCATGCGATAGCTGTTCAGGGGCCCTCTGCAAGAATTAGTTGGTGTCACCAGTTCAGTTCCCAGCTGAATACTGTCTCATCCACAGCTTTCTTCAGAGCTGCCAACAGCAATAGATAAGAAAAATGGCTTTGAGCCTCAGCTGAAAGAAACTTAGGCAGCCAAATCGCCCTCTCCAGCTTTTCTCTCAACAAACAGAGGTGACCATCTCTTAGGCTGACAGCTGAACTCTGACAGTGAGGTTTTTCAGTAGGTCTCCAACTTGCCCCCATCCTCCAGGCCCTCCAACATCAGAGGGCCATCAGCATTACACTCACACTCTGGACTGCTTTTAAGACCTGATCCTCCAAACTCAACCCACTCACAAAGAAGCCCTCTGAATTCTGTAGTAACTCGAGGGAAAGATCAGATGCACGACCTTCAGTCTAGAAGGGTTCAGGGTGCTGACCCTGAGGCACTCACAGTGTGGACAACACCCAGGACATCACAGGACAACACCCAGTGTCACAACTCAGTGCACACAGAGAGCTGGTCCCTCTATCAAAAACAAGTACAAAATTCAGTAAGTCATCCACCTATGTGAACTTCTTCAACTCAAGCCTGCTTCAGCTGTTTGCTCTCTGGATAGTATTAAAAGCGCATGAATAGAGAAGAAGGAAAAAACCCAAACTTAATTACATCAGTAATCAAGGCCATATGCTTAAGGTGATAGCACGGTACAAGGTGACCCTCAAAACTCCTTGGCAGGGCAGGAGAGATGGCAGCAGAACATAGGGGCTATGATGCCACTGGCAAGGCTCACCCCAAGGTCAGGGCAAGGGGGTAGGTGCCTCCGCCAAAAAGGCACGTGGCTGCTACGTAGGAGCCGTCCTTTAGCAGGGAAGGGGACGAGAACCCAGAATAACTTGGACACGATGCCACATACCTCTGCACAAGAGCCAGACCCGTACTTAGCAACACACCTGCTCTGCTCTCACTGCTGGCAGCCAGCTGGACAGGCACCAAATCTGCTTCCACTGTGACCACAAACAGCTCCTCACCCATGCCAGGCTCAGAGGCACTGTCAGGGACACCCCTCATCCCCAAGGGCAGCCAAACCCTCCAGATCCCTGGCAGCCTGCCTTGTCTCCCCGTTGTTTCCCAATGAGCTCTTCAGTCCAACCAGCCAGCAGGGAAGTCTCTCAGGGAGTCACTTTACTCGCCTTTCCCACATAACTTACTCTGTGATTTAGCTGAGGGTAGCAGACATCAGCCCCCTGGCATGTCCTGCAAGGAGAGGCAGCCACTGACACAGATGTCCCATGGCACCTCCTGCAGCTCAGGTAGAAAACACAGACCCCCCTACCTGCAACCGGGCCACTCTTCCCAGCAGTTCCAGCCCAGCCATGCTGATTCTTCCCAGTCACCTTCTTCTGGAGTCACTGAGGAAAGCAAACTGGGCAACAGCTCCCTGATAGCCAGGAACAAGTATGGGTTCAAGTGTTTCCCAGGCTAAAGGGGAAATCCTTCAACTAAATAGCTGTAAGGCCTCGAAAGCACACCAAAAATCCTGGGAAGCAGCACCAAGAGAGATGCAAGCACCCACCCAGCACACCTGATACCTGCATGATCTCAGGCTGACACACACCAAGATCCATCTCCGCAGGATGGGACAAGGCACAGGTGCCTCCTGAGCCCAACACCCAGGTGCATGGACCTACCTTCATCCTCATATCCCTGGCAAACTTCTCCAGCTCCTTTCTGACTTCTGTGCGCATCATTTTGGACACGTTGAGGACCAGCTGTTTCCACTCGATGGGCTGGAAGCTGTGCGGCTCGTGTGGGACGTACAACCCGATTTTGACTTTTTTGACTGAATGCAAGTACTTTTTATAGGAGTCTTCGAATTCGAAGATGAGGTCGCTCAGAGTTCGGTAAGTGAGAGGTTTGTCCATCAGGTCTGATCGCCTGCTCATGCCCAGCGAGCCGTAGCGGCCGTTGCAGTAAATCCCAAGCACCACGTGATGAAAATAGTTCCCTGAGAAGTGGGTTTTAAAGCTGATGGGGAATCGTTCCACGGAGGGCTGCCCGTTTGTTAAGTAGCTGGGGTGCACTGCATCAAGGCAACAACAGTGCTGGGAAAGCAGCAGGTACAATTACACCTGTGAGACATCTTCAGCAGGTTTGGGGTTCTTACTTGCCAGGGCAAAGGGCTTTCCTGTAAACACAAACTTATTCTCGTTGTGCCCAGATACAGCCAGTGCTGCCAAAGCCCATTTCACTGCTTGGAAAATAAGATACAATGGTTCAGATGGGGAAGGGCATGATTCTTAATCACACTTAGGGAAAAGATAAAAACCACAGCACTGTTCAGGTCAGCACACCCAAAGAGAGACTACCCTCCCTAGATCTAGTTTGATACCTACATCAAACTCCCACGCTTCCAAAGGGAAAAGCGTTTACCTCCCTTTCTTGAGGGTTTGATACAACTTAGTTCACTGAACCTCATTTTCTCATGTCTTCAAATAGTACCAAGAAATTTGGATTTATTCCTCACCAAGATGACAGTCTGCCTTTCCTTCTGTAAACTGGTCCTCGACATTGCCACTCCTCATATAGTGTTTTAGCATGTTACCCTTGAAACACACTGCTGAGAAGAACCAAAGGAAAGGTCCAATAATTAATTAGATAAGCACAGAGGCATGGTCAGAAACAATGCTCTTAAAAAGAAAACCCTGTCCCTGGAATCGCTGACTGGCCATTTCAAAGGCACCACGTGCAGAGGCCAGGACCGAGCTACATGCAGCTCACCTCCTAGGGAGGCTGCTGGCCCATGCCAGGGAAAGGACAGGCTGAGAATCCCTCACACAAGCAGCTTTGCGTCAGCACCTACGTTGCACGCAGCTCCCTGCTGCTAATCCTGGGACAGCTGAAACTCACCCTGGCTCCACGTGCTGGCACCTGGCCCCTGGGACAGCAGGTGCCCTTCCCCTCTGCAGCTGAGGCTCCCACCCACACGCCTGGGGGATGGAGGAGGGATGACCAGAAAAGGCTGTAGCAAAGCTCTCCAGCCTGGGGTTACTCCAGCCAGAGGCACCAGCTGTAACCTTGGAGCCATCCTTTGAGTCAGCTGGTCATGGTGCTGCCACTACAAAATAGACCAGCCCAAAAGGCAGCACTGCCAGGATAGCGTCGGGGCATCCTGACAGATGGAGGAGTGGGCTCGGTTCCCACTGAAGCTGCAGGAACCTGCTTTGTCCAGGATTCTGCTCTGGGGATCGCCAATATCCCCTCTTCTCCCTACCTCATGCCCAAAAAGGAGGTATTTAACAGCAGTGAAACAAAAGCCACCACAGAGCTGAGATATCCTGGGATGTTATTGTGACCAGCCTTCCTCCCCTGCCTCCACAGCACGGCTGCCAGACAGCTGCTGGGAAACTGAGAGCACAAAAAAGCCTTTGTATAAAGACTGTAAAACACAATTTGGGCTCCGTTCTGGCTCTGCCCAGCTTGATATGCCACCACCTCACCACCAGTGTGGCTTCCTGGGATGCTGACCCCTGCCTGCACCCCACATTTCAACTCTTTGTTCCATAGTTTGCGTGAAAAGCATCCAGTGGCTCTCATCTCTCTCTAAACCATTTTCTCAGGGGGATATTTCACCCAGTGTTTGTTGAATTTCACAAATTCAAACTTTTGGCTTCTGGGTAAATGCAACTAATAAGAGATTCATGAACTGCCCAGAATCTGAAGTCAAGAGCAAGGAGTTTCACAAACAAACCAAAATAAAAACAAACAAAAAAAAAAACCCACAGGCAAGAAAAACACATTGACACAACTTTCAGAACAGTCACAGGGAAGATTTTCAGTTCCATGTCAAACATGTTTAGCTGTATTCAGTGCTCGATGTCATCAGCTTTAGCAGCCTGGAGAAAATGTGTTAAAGGGTAAAGGAACAGACAACACTGTGGGCTCAGCTCACACTGCACTTCACTGGCTGTATGACCATGAGTGTGGAAGACTGTGCACAGCAGAGCACAGACCTCCCTACCACACACATCTGTCACCCAGCCAAGGCCACATGCACCCACCTCCTGCCCCACTGCCATCAAACACAGACACCCTGCAGTGACTGTCAAAGCCTGCCCCAACATCACCTATGCAGAACAGAAACAGCTCTATTTGCCTTAGATGGTCTCACTGGATCACTGCTGCTTAGGACTAGCTTCTCCAAGAAAATTGCCCTCATCCCACCATCAGTAGATGACTTATTAATAAAGATTATAAATATACTGCAAGGGCAGAATGGGGCCCAGCGCCGTTATGTCAACTGGAAAACTCAGCACACACTCACCTCATTTAAAAGGTCACCTTGCTTTGGGCCTTAAAAGGTGCATCCTGTGTACATCAAAGTCGTGCTACAATAATTTGTGTCCTACAGACCAATTCCTGCAAAAGCCCATTGTATTTATCATTCTGTGTAGCTGAAAAAGCACTACCTTTTATTAACACCTGTGAAGCTTTCAAACATCATCACTATTTTTCCCCCTCATTATGAAAGGGTTTTCAGTCTGCTCCCCAAGTGCCTTTCTGTTAAGCCCATACAAAGCTTTGGTGGCCACCTGCCACATATACACACTTCTGCCACAAGGGCTCAGAGAAGTTGCAATTTAATCTCATTAAATACTTAGTAGGAGTAAAAGAATCTTTTCAGGGCAGAAATTACCCACCATCAAATAACCCAGCAACAACTGCTGTGGAAATTAACCTTTAGGGTACAGGTTGCTTCTGCTGAGGGACTGGTTAATGAGAGTCCCCACCCGAGATGAAATACACAGCAAATGGGCTGGAAAGGCACGTCAGATCTTCCCCTCTGTCCATGCATCATTATTATAGCTTTCCTTTCTGCTCTGCCCAAGGAGACTGTATTGTGGCAAACAAAAGGCAAGCACATAGCAATGCTGCAGCTGTAATCACACTTCTGAGCTGGGACTGTAACTGCAGGATGGAGAGTCAGGGAGTGAATTATATGTCACAATAGAGAAGCAGTGTAGAGGGCAAAAGCAGCTGCAGCAAAGCTCAGTGGCCTCCTAATCCTGGGTCTTCTTGACAATCAAGATGCTGGAGCCAGGCTCTTCTCAGTGGTGCCAACCAACAGAAGAGGCAGCAGAAACTGAAGCACAAGAAGCTCACAGGTCAGGCACAAGAGAGTCCTAGCAAATTGGTAACATCAGCCCAGCCACTAGAGGGATTCTGCAGGGCTTCATCCTCAGCCCAGTCTCTTCAACATCTTCATTATAACATGGACACAGAACTCAAAGGAAGTTTGGGGACAGCACCAAACTGAGAAGAGCTGTTGACTCTTTCATGGGCAGAGAGGTGCTGCAGAGAGACCTCAACAAATTGGAGAGATGGGGAACCACCAACCACACAAGGTTTAACAAGAGCAAGTGCTGGAATCCATACCTAAAAGGGGCAGTGCTTTGTGCTTAAGAGCCCAGCAAGGGTGTTTTGCTGAAGTCTGGTCAAGATGAGCACAGAAAACTACAGGATGTCTGGTTCTCCCCTCTCCCATGGGCTGCGGCCATGAGCAAGTGCCACTGGGCAGCAGCAAGCTGGAGGGATGGCAGCAGGCTGGGGAGCAAGGAAGCACTTCTAGTTCTTAGCAATGCTGAAGCTGCTAGCACAGAGCAGCATGTGAAGCAGGAGAAAAATAAATCTCCAAACCATCAATAAGGCTTCAGTAAAACCAGAAGAGCTGGTTTTCCAAGCAACTGCTCAGAGGGCCCCCAACCAGCAGCAATAAACACTTAGAGAGGTTTCCAGCTGGAGTCAGATAGCATTTCCCATGGACTTGGGATTGCTTACTGTGAGGCAGAGTGCTACTGAGCCCACAGCTGGATGCTGTCTACACAGAGGGCCCAGAGTTCCCCCTGGCAGCTCCAGGCTCCATGTAGAAAAGGCTCAAGCAGCTGGTTCAGCTTCCCAAAGTGGGACTGCCAGGGTGACATCCCTTAGATTGAGAAACCTACTCTCCAGTGCCCGGCTACAGCGAGAGGTGGGACTATCTAAAGATTAGACCATAACAATGTAAGCAACTAAAAGCACTCTCTCAGCTCTTCTCAGCCCCCCCAGAGGCTGTAGACATTCACCACCACCTTCCTTTCCCATATTTCAGTCAGCAAGTTGTCAAGATGCAGACAAGCATGCAGGAGGCAAAGAAGAGCACTACACAGATATCAATATCCTGCAATGACTGCAAGAAGCTCTCCCCCTTACTGAAAACCCTCACTTCCAGCCCAGGGATGCACCTTCTGGCCTGGAGAAGATGGATGCACCCAGGTCCCCAGTGGTGATAAACATCATTCATGGATTGCATCCACAGACGGAACAGTGCATAATTTCTCACTCCTGAGACACTTTTGCTCTTCTCTTCTTGTTTAATGATATTATTGGCCAGGGGCTCTAATACCCTGTGTGGGTCTAAGTATTACCTCACATGAACTGGGAGAAGGATGCTGAAGGCAACAGGAGTGATTTATGTGATTTATGCTCAGCCAATGCAGACACACTCCCCAAGACTCCCCAAGGAGGGCTGCAGTGTGCAGCTTCCCTCTCCCTCTCTGATATTTTGCTCTCCACGTTTTAATAAAGTGAATGCAGTGCAGATAAAATTCCCTTGGCACTTTCTGGTTTACTATTCCCTTTCATGAGCTCAAATCAATTGGATCTTTGCTCAGAAAGAGTGGGCTGAACGCACCATTACTCAGCTGATTTACAACTGAACTGAGAAATGCCCTGGGGAAGACAGCAGGAGGAATGCTTCTGGTTAGGCACTGACAAGCAGATCATGTAAGCACAGAGATATGAAGCCAGTTCAGACAGCTACACAGAGAAAAAGAGCTGTGCAGACTGCTGCAAAATAATACTGGAAGATCTGTTTGAGCTTTCGGTCACCTCAGAGCAGCTGCTTCCTTGGTGTGTGCAGACAGGGTAGCTCAGTACTTTACCTCACTGCCCTATAAAAATGTTCCAAGATCAAGTGCATAGGCAATTATGCCAAACTTAATTCTGCACAAAGAGGGATTATAGAAGCATTTTATAAGAAGTCACACAGTAAAAGGCAATTGCACAAGCCAGCGAGCAGCTCAATTAAAGCAACATCTCGCTAAGCCGGCCTTTGAAGGAAGGCTCACACCAAGGGGCCGTCGGAGTGGGCTGTGCTTTTTCAGTATCCAAGCAACTCAAGGCCTGCCAGCACACAGATTACAGCAGTACCTTATTTCCAGATACATGGAATGGAACCAGAGGTTAACGCACACACAGGGCTGCTCAGCTCAGGCTGGTGTGAAGGCACTGGCTGGGAACTCAGGAGAGGGTAAGCACATCTTCACTGGAAAACACCTGACCTTGGAACGCTGTTGGCCTCACCATGTCTGCATCCAGAGGGCAATGCCAAAGATCAAAATCTCATGGCTGCCAAAAAAAAAAAGCAAACTTCCCAACATGCCATGCCAATGATGCCTCCCAAAACCCCTCATGCTGCACAGGTATAACAGCACTGCAAGGTTCCCTATTGGCACAGCCTCCATACCAGCCACTTCCCAGACACAAATTCAGGTGGCCCACCCACTCACCACTGCTACACTCTTTGTGTACCCACACCTCAAGCAAAATACCTGGGGCTCATAGTACATGAATCTTGTAAACCTAAATGCATCTGTTCCTGAACCACCAGCCAGCAGACAGTCCCTGCTCCCAGAGAGATACTTCCAAGACTAGGTCCTAGAAAGACAAGCCTGTCCCATACAGTCCCCTGGCTAAAATTTCTCTTTAAAAAAAAAAAAAAAGGTTTGCCTTAAGTTTGGGGTTTTTTACTTAGCATCTAGAGACAGAAAAATCCATACACGTCTTAACTCTGAAGAGACTTCAAATGACAACAAATAGTACAAAATACAGCTTTCGACTATTTTGCTTCCTTCACTTCTCAAAAAAAAAAAACCAAACCAAAACCACCAAACTGAACCCACAAGTCAGGTTTGAGGCACACAAAAAACCCAGCAACAACACTTTCAGGTTATCACAGTTATCCATAGGCCACTAATCAGCCTTTGCTCCTGTGATATGTAGAATAATCGTTCACTGCTAGAAATACACCACTGCAGGCCACATTGACTCTGCAGAGGGGCATCAACTCCACCTGGGGATTATTTCCCCCATTCCAATAGTTTAGGGCATAACCCTGACACAAGGGCAAGCATAACAGGCCCACTGACATCACTTTAAGGGAAATCAGTTAACAAAAACTTTTTGGGCTTCAGGAAACCTTTCAATGCTGTGACTCCCAGTGTTCTCCTGGACAAAATATCCAGCACACAGCTAGAGAAATACATAACACCATGGGTAAGCAACAGGCTCACAGGTCAGACACAAAGGGTTACAGCAAATGGGATTACACCAGGCTGGGAACCACTCACTAGTGGAGTTCCACAGGGCTCCATTTTAAGGCCAGTTCAACATCTTCACAAGTTATTTGGATGCAAGACTCAAAGGTATGCTTAGTAAGTTTGCTGATGACACAAAATTGGGAAGAGCTGCTGACTCTCTCAAGGGCAGAGAGGCCCTGCACACAGACCTTGACATTGGAAAGCCAGGTGATGTCCAACCTATGAAGTTTAACAAGGGAAGTGTCAGATTCTGCATCTGGGACAGGGCACACCCAGTTGTGTGGATAGACTGGGGAATGAGAGGCTGGAGAAGAGCACCACAGAGAGGGAACATGAGTCAGCAGTGCCCTGGCAGCCAGGAGAGCCAACCATGTCATGGGGGGCATCAGGCACAGCACTGCCAGCCGGGTAAGGGAGGAGACTGTCCCACTCTGCTGTGCACTGGGGCAGCCTCACTTCCAGCGCTGGGGGCAGTTCTGGGTGCCACAATATAAAAAAGGATATAAATCTATTAGAGAGCATCCCAAAGAGGGCAATGAAGATGGTCCTTGAGGGGAAGCCATACAAGGAGTGGCTGAGGTCACCTGGCTTGTTCAGCTTGAAGGAGACTGAGGGGAGACCTCATTGCAGTTACAACTTCCTCCAGAGGTGAAGAGGAGGGGCAGGCACTGATCTCTGCTCTGTGGTGCCCAGTGACAGGACCCAGGGGAATGGCCTGAAGCTGTGTCAGGAAGGTTTAGGTTGGATACTAGGGAAGGGTTCTTCACCCAGAAGAAGGTTGGGTACTGGAACAGGCTCCCCAGGGAAGCAGTCACAGCACCAGGCAGCCTGACAGAGTTCAAAAAGGATTTGGACAACACAGGGCCTGAACTTCCATGGTTTTTGTGGGTGTCTTCCAACTCAGGATATTCTATGATCTCTCCTTCTGGAAGGGCTTTGAGTCTCTTGTTGACATGAAGCCCCCAGGACCCCAATCCCTCCAGCTCATGCAAAGCTTGTCAGTATTCCCAGGGGAAACCCTGTCAGCCAGAGCGACCTCTCAGAGTCCAGTCCGAGGCCTAACCCTGGCACACATTGCTCAACCCATCCCCTTCCCACTCCTCAGCAGCCATGGATTCTCACAGGCACTACCTGCCAGGCTCTGCCAGCTCCCTCTCCCACGGGAGGGGGCAGCAGCAGCCAGCAAAACGCTGCAGAGACATACCAGGAGATGGTTTGCTTCGGGGCTTATTTTTAGTTGGGATTTGTTTTAAGTGAAACTTAATCATTTCTGACAAGATGTGTCTGGCAACCTGTTCCTGCAGCCCTGTCTTGCCCTCCTCCAGTGTTTTAGGATGGTGTAGGTTGATTTATCAGTGACAGCACCAGAGGAAGGAGAAGCAAGTCAGTGTCTAAATGACTGAAGACTGAGTAGGAAGCAAGCATTATGTTAAGGGGAAGCTCAAATGTTTAACTGTAAAACACATGTTTTTGCACAAAGCACTGCTGTGGGTTCAGAGGCAAAAGCTAATATGACTTGGCCATGTAAACACCAGACAAATACAGAACAGAACCCACCTCCTCGGGTGTTACCAAGCTCCAACAACAACCAACAGAGAAATGCTAAAAAAGAAAACAAGGATTGTGTAGACAGGTACTTATCTGGGCACTTTGGGTCAGATCCTGGCATTATGCAGAATACCAGGGCAGGAGGCAAAGTCTGCATGGCCAAATCACAACACTGGTGATCTGGCACACAGCATCCCAACTCCCACCTACAATCCAAGGCAACTCAGCAACTTGGTGATGAATACCAGGGCAGCTCCCCAAGCTGCTGGCACTCACCTTTGGCTGCAACCCTCTCAAACACCATCTGTGAGGGGCAATGTATTCAACAGAGCTGCAGTGGAAAAAGTCACAGGCACGTGAAAGGATACATCCCCAGGATAACTGCTTCAAGGCATTTGATAGGTAAGGACTCCCTGGTCATTTCTTTTGCTGTCTCCATTAACCTAGAACAGAAACAAAACAGTTTTCAGTCCTTCCAGCTAGAGCAATTGACAGGAATCAAAAGGTCCTCTCATACACCAAGAGCCAGGCATCTCCAGTTCTTATCTCAGCAAGAGCTGGGGAACTTGATTCTCCCCTTCAGTGACTTGTTGGAGTCCTGTTAACTTCTGGAGGATGACTGAGGGGAAAAAAAAAGAAAGAGGAAAAAAAATATATTGAAGGTACATGGAAGGAATGCAGTCCTCTCTACATCTTACAGCAACTCCCTGAGCATCACCGCAGACTGTTACACAAAGCCCCGCTGAACTGCACGAGCTGGCAATCATGGAAATCCCAGAGCAGGACTGAGTTTAGCTTATTTTCAAAATAACCCTGGCTCTCCTCTGCAGGAAAGACAAACAAAGCAGAAGAGAAAGGATGGTTACATGGCCCCCTAAAAGCTACAGATGCCTCCATAATCCCATAGCTATGGCTGCAGACCAGAATTTATTGGCTTTTTATCAAAGCCTGCTCTGCAGAAAGCTCTACCAACACAGACACTTCACATCCCTGCAAACTGAGTTATTGTCTTGCTGCTGCTCCACATCTCCTGTAGCAAAATCAACACAATTTCCAGCAGGAGTGCAGGAAACTACACATGCTCAGGCTTTTGCAAGTTTCCAAAGTTTAGCTACAATCTACACACTATCTCTGGAGTACAATTATTTGACAGGGACAACACTGTGACAAGCAACCTCAGGTCAGCTGAGAAAGCTGTTGTGCCAGATTGACACTGCACTATTAACCTAATAGGTAACATTCCACAAACAGATCCTGGAAATCCTGGACAGTTTGAAAAAAAACAACAAACTGGAAGCAGCCTAAAAGAGGCCAGAAGAGTCACATCCAATGCCACACCAAAAAAATACCCCCCCAAAAAAGCACAGCTGAAAACTAAGCCAAAAGATAACTTTTATTTTGCAGTCTTCTCTATCCATATCCTTTCTCTGGGAAGAGCTTTGTAAACAGATCCCTACTCTAAGAAAATACAAGATTAAATGACAAAAATATTTGTATTAGAGAAGATTATGAAAATATGCATCTGAAACCATCAGTCTGTTTCCTCCACTTTCTGATTCACCCACTTCATGCATTTTAAACCTTGTGTTGAATGCAAGTGACAACAGAACTTCCACTGCTATTGCAGCCTGTCACAGCCATTTCGTGTCCCATTTATCCAAGTAAGAAATTATCTTTTCATTTGTAAACAACCACCCCTTACACTCTGCCTGCAGTACAGAAGACTAATTAGAGTTCGTCTGCCTCCTCCACTCTCACAATCAGGCACAGAACCCCAGAGAACTGCTGGAAGCACAGAGCAGCCCCGGGGAGGGCACACAATGGGGCCCCTTCATTGCCCACAGAGGCTCCCACTGGTCACAGCAGTGGCCACTGCACAGCCCCGTCCCTGTCTCAGAAGTGTTATGTGCAGATGAGGCATGGGAAGTATCCATAAACAAGATAATCCACTGGATTTCCTATCTTCTAACTACATGGGAGTTAAAGAAAAAAAAAAAAAAACATAAAAGAATCCGGCTGATTATGAATGCGCAGCATGAGGAAAAATGTTGAGTTGTAAAACCATTTATCTGCAAGCCATTTGGTGTGACCTACTCATGGTTAACACAGTCTGAGGGGCAGGGCCAGCATCTCCTCCTCAGACACACACAGCAGCCTGCACCTGGATCCAGGAGCTGCACTGGCACCTGGCAGCTCAGAGGTACCAATGGAGCAGGACAGTGAGGAGGGTCTGTGCGAGGCGAGCATCACCCAGGAGGCACCACCAGCTGTCAGCAAAGCAGCATTCACCTGCATTTCTGGGGCAGGCTGTGTCCTCACACACATCCACCCTGGAACCCTGGGGAGTACCCTGCAAACAGTTTGCTTTCTCTCTGCATTTCCAGCACGGACCGCAGGCTTTATGTGCGTGACCCAGTTCAAGAGCCACTGAGAGTTTTTCGTCCACTTTTAGCAAGCTTGAGTCAAAGCATGGCCTTAAACCCTGTGTTTGTATTGGAAGCAGAGCCCCTGGAGAATCCCCAAGCCACAGCTCTGCTCAAGGTAGCACAAGCCAAATCTAAATCACTCCTCACAGATTATTTTTCAGTCTGCTTTCAACTGGCTTCTCAAAAGCCTGGGAACCCACCAGCTAATCTATCCTATACTTAATCTTGCATCTTAATGTTTAAACTAAATCCTTCCCTTTTTGCAAATTAAATCACAGTGGGCATGGAGACCTTTCATCATCTCTCCTCTTGCTGCAGACATTTGTATACGCAAAAGACTGTAATCTACCCTCTCCTCTGTAAAAATGAGGAAGCAGACACTAACTTTTATTTAATTCCTCCCTCACTCCCCCTGAGGTTATGCTTTTAGGACAATGTTTGTTTTTTTCTATTTTGGAATCCCTTCAACCAACTCACTTCTCACAGTCCTTTGGCTAAGCCCACAACAGTACAAACAGACCAATTTCCTTCTGAATCCATCTTTCAGTGCATATTTGCAACCAAGCCAGCATGCTGCTGACTTTTCCCTGCTGGCCCACATTGAATGGGGTTCTGGTGGCTTTTTGTGGGTTTTGTTGGTGTTTTTGGTGGGGTTTTTTTGTGGGTTGGTTGGGAGATTTTTTTTGTTAGGGGTGGGGACTTTTTGGCTGGGCTTTTTTGGAAATTTTTGTTTGGTTTCTTTTATTTTTTTAAGTTTCTTCTTTGCAAAATTAGCCTTTTGCTCTCTACAGCTAGCTACCCCCAAACTCTCCTACACATTTGCCCTCACTAAATTATCTCCTCTTTGCTCCAGCCCAAGAGATCACTCTGAATATCCCAGTCTCACTTTTCAAAGCCTTGTCATCTTGTCCAGCCTGGACTGCAAATCACCCATCAGCACACAATTAGTCTTACCTATACCATTAAGGAAAAACTGAGCTGGGACAGACACTGCACACCTCAACTGACAATCTCTGCTAGGCAAGATTGGTAAAGTGCCACTTTCTACGTGCTGCTTTTCACCAAGCTGGGTCCTTACATTAAAGAGTTTTATTTAGTCTCAAGGTCCCTGCCTTATCTGCAGAGATAAGATGTGGCCTTATCAAAAGCCACACTAAACAAGGAGTTTTATTACATCCATGTCTTCTCCCTTGATGACAAAAGCTCTTACATGCTCATAGAAGGAAATTCTCAGAAACAAACTGTCCCCAACAATATTAATATTATATTAATGTTGCCTTTCCCTTCCCTTGAACTGCAGATAAACTCAAAGTTCCTAGACTTATCTTTTCCCTTATTCTTTTTAAAGGCTGCTATCTTTGCCTTCCTCAGCACCCAACCCTCCCCACGTTCTCTAACTCAAATATTAATGGTTGAAGGCTGCTTGTCAGTTCTCTAAGGGACCTATTGCAATTTACAGAGCGTTCAGCTCATTTGAGAACTGCTCACTGCAGGTGCTCTTTGATTTGTCCTTTCCCTCTTTTCCCTCACTCCTAAATTCTCATCACACTGTCTCAGATGTTAATAGTGACCAGAAAGTTTGCAGTTAAACTTGTGAAAGGAGATTTAAGGAAGGCAGAAAAGAATTAAAAAACAGCATCAAACATTTCAATTCCCTGCATTAGCAGGGTTTGCTTCTGGGATTTTCTTTAAATCTTGACAGTCACCTGAAAAGAGTCTACATATATAGCTATTCTTTACAGTCTTATATCAGACAGCTGGGAATTAGTCCACAGTCACCCTCTCCCCACACTCCAGTGAGCATTGGGGGCAGCCCATCTCTTCCAGGAGAGACTGCTACAGTCAAAGACAAGCACCCTGCAGCTCCCCTCTTTGTGGCATTTACACCACTCTCTGAGGTCTGCCAGGCAGATCTCTATTCCAGACTACAGTGAACATTTCTGCCTCTAACAAATGTAGCCAACAGGAACAGGCTGCTTGTTCCTCCCTCAAAACCTAGTCCTTGGCAGATAGTGATACTTCCTTGTTAATTGATTCAAATTTCTTTCAGTGTTTTCAGGAGCCAAGCAGTACTATCTCCCTTGCTTCCTGCAGTAACAGAGGCCCTGAAAGGAGTTCACTTTGCCTCTTTAGGATGCTTTCTGTTTAAAATGGCAGTGTCTAAAGACAGTTCATAAGAATCACTAATTCCTTTTGCTTCCAGATTTTTCACTTGGGGCACCCAATTTCATATACAGCTTAGAAAAATCTTAAAACCATTCAGCATGCCCAGACTGGAGGATCTCACCAGCTGGCATCGATCACACTGGAGTCCCTTCAGGGATAACCATGCTTAGGTGAGGCTCCCCATTACCTTCACCAGAAAGACTCCTACAAGACTGAATACATTTTTTATTAGTGAGATCTCCTCCAGCACATCTTTCCACAAAATTCTCCTTGCACAGACCCATCTATTTGCATGAGGTCTATAAAATCTCCCTCTCCCAAGTGTTTCTAAGGCTCCTGACAGTTTCATTCATGATAATGAAGCCAAGAGTGAAACGAAAGGCTCCAGCAGGGGCAAAAGGAGATAAAATAGCAGAGCAGATACGGATCTTGTGAATCTTCTCAAAAACCGTGTTTCAACAGCAAAATCATTTCCACCACATGCTGAACACCACACCATATTTGTAACATTCCCCCTTTGTGCGAGAGAGAAGCAGATGTTCAAATGCCTTCTGCAGTCTATTGTCTGGAAATGCTATGAGCCCATTTTTCTTTACAGCCCCATGAGTGTTCCTTAATAACATGGTGTGTGGAAACAGTATTATTTCCTGTCTCCCCTTCCCTGTTATTTGGTTGCATCGTTGCCACATGACAGCTCCTATCGTGCTCCTCTACTGCAATCGATCACACATTATATCTGCTGCTGCTGAATGTCTCTCCCTCCTCACAGAGCAGCTTCTGGGCTCCCATTTCCCAAAGACCACAGAATCCACCCAGACATCAGTTCCTGCTTCAGCTGTAGGTCCCCCTGTTCAGCTGGCACTTAACTGGAGAGAACAGCACAATACTGCACCTCCCCAGATCCTCTGTGGAGGACAAAGAGATTTGTTTCTCATCATGCCTCATGCTTGCATCCTAAACCAGAAGCTTCCAGAGGGCTTATGTCTCCTTGTAAACCCAGTATTAACAGCTTGTTGACATTGAATTCACAGTTACAGATTTTACTAGATATCCAGACATACACTTTTTTCCTAAAGCTCTGACATGATATAAGCCTGGAAGTTTTAAAAAGAATGATTATGTCAGTCAAAAGTACCATTTTTCATCAGACTGGCTGTACCAACAAAAGTCTGATATAGGTTTAGCCAGCATAATCCTGCATGGGAATAGGAAAACCAGTCCTACTGGTGTCTGAAACATTCATATCACATGCATACACAAATGGATCAGCAGAGCTGAACTTCACAGGGTGCCCTTTACCTATTTAGTACAAAAAGGTACATCATGAAGCCTGTGAAGGACACTGTCCCAGGACACCTATATTAGCAAAGCACTCCTACAGTGGATGTAGCTACACCCATAAATTTGGATTTTATGCAAATACAGCCAGCTCAGGAGAGGTGCGACCCAGGCACATTTTCAGACACAGTTTGGCAGTACAACAAGAACAGCACACCAAGTTTACAGGTTCACAGCTCTGCCACCCTGACTCGCACAGCAACACAAACACAAATCTAGCATTTCTAAAAGTGCTATCTGTAGTCTAGGCAAATCCACGTGGTGTCTGGCACTCTGAAAGTTAAGTTGATAATAAGAGTGAGTTTTACTTAAAGAGATTGTAAATACTGAATTATAGCAAGACTATATCCCTTAATGAGCTCCGATACATAATTTATGCTCTTCTTCCTATTCTCAGCCACGCATTTTTATTTTCTCATACATCATACTGATGCTGGCAGTAAATCTCTACAATATCTAGTCCTCCCTCCATAACAGAAAAACCCATTAATATGCCCCAGCTGCTTCAGGACACTTTGACATGAATTTATGAATATTCAATTTCCATCTAGTACTCAGCTTCTTTGTGTCCAGCCACTGCTGTCTTGAGGAGAGGCTGCCAAAGATCTCGTAATACGTTCATTAGCTTTGTGCCCTCACATTATGAAATCAGCAATATGTTTAGTGTCAATAAAGCTGGGAACAGCCTCATTTTTCAGGAGCTAGTGGCAATTGGAGGCCTTCAGCATCTTGCCCAATCAACTTGCAAACGCTGTGTTGCACACCTCAGAAATTGCTCAGAGCAGCTCCTGTCACCTCAGCACATGACACCTGTCATTGCCATGCTGGGAGCAGATTTTTTGCAAAGTAGAAAACACCTCCCAGGAAAAAAAAACAAACTTGGAGGTGCAGGTGATTTTTCAGCTTTGATGAAAACTGGCCAGATGAAGGAAAGGGAAGCTTTCGTGCATACCTCAGTGTTACAGGGGAATCAATGCACTATTCACACAGACTCACCAAAGCTGGGGTTGGAAGGGACCTTCAGAGACGATCTGCTAAAGCTACCCTCCTGCTAAAGCAGTTTCATTTAGAGCAGGTTGCACAGGTAGGTTTTGAATATCTCCACAGAAGGAGACTCCATAACTTCTATGGGCAGCCTGTTTAAGTGCTCTGTCAGACTCAAAGTAAACATTTTTTTCCTCATACTTAAATGGAACTTCCAGCTTCTGCCCATTGCTCCTTGTCCTGTCACTGGGGACCACTGAAAACAGTCTGGTCCCATCCTGGCCAGGAAAGTTTTAAAATATCTGAACTCTAAACCAGAAACTGTTTCATAAAAACAACTGGAATTTTGGTTTCATAAAAATGGCAGGAACTTCGGACAGCCTCGCACGCGTTCTCCTTCTCAAAATTGGAGAAACCAAGACCAGGCAAGAGTTGAGCCCTACAGCAGAACAGCAGGATCCAGGCAGCAACAGGTGCTCCTGACAGCTCCACTCCGCCCAGCACTCCCATGCACCCAACCCAGGAGCAAAGCTGCACAGGTCTTAGGACTTTACACTGAGTCCAGCATACACCATGTTCAGGCAACAGTGCCTGGAAAGCTGGCAGCCCCTGAGCGCTTGGACCATTTCCAGGGGCACCAGCCTTAACTCCACAGCAGTCCTGTCACCCCATTCCAAGAAGTTCCAAGCAGCAAGAAGGAGAGGAGTCAGACACTCGCCCCCAAGCAAATATTAAGGCAGATAAACAGAGGAAATGGTTCCACTTGGGAGATGATTCAAAGCCACAGGCACATCTCCAGCTGTGAGCACTGTATCTGTTCCCTTCCAGGAAAGAGCACCATCCTCTTAAGCCAGGCTTTTATCCAGCCCAGGAAGACAACGACCTTTTAAGTGGCAAGTGCTGAGCATAATTCATTTTCATCCTTCACTTCCTTTGAAAAAAGTAATGGGACAAATTTAAAAATGAGTGAGCGGCTTGAAAATTGGTTTAAGCTTCTGTAAACCCATCTATCATTCAAGGCACAAGATTTGTTTTAAACTAGTTCCACCAGAGCAGAGAACATTAGATAAAGGAGGTGAGAAAGATTGCTGTCAGCAACATGAAAACCTGAAGCACAAAGCAGAGATGGGAACTGGAATTTTAGAGTGAGGGACCATTAGTTTATTGACAGAGAACTGGGAAGAGCTAGAGACAGACCAGCCTATGGGAGTAATTATATTCTGCTTATCTTAATTTCACCCTAGAATAAAAGTATAATACTGTCAACACCCTTCCTGCCCTAACTTCCTAATTTATTAGGTTCTGTTAAAGAGCTGTCCTAAGTATGATGCAGTTCTAACATGCAAAAGACCTCAGCTCTCTGCTGCCAGCCTCATACATGCACATGTTCATACTTGCACTGCACAACTCATCACAAACCTGCACAAGCCCGCCACACGGATGGAACAGCAAGGTGAGCAGCAAGGCAGAAGCACAGACACAACTTAAACAGTCCATTGTGAGCCTCCAGGGAAAACTACTGTGCCCGGAATGTCCAAATTTCTGCTGCATTTCACGCAGCTAATCCCTTCCTACCACCTGCAATGGGCATTGCAGCACACCTAGAATATCAGGACATACTCAGTTTTCAGAAAAACAGCCCAGCCCTCCCAACCCAACACCAATAAGCAGAGAGTTTTCCCACCCCTGTGCATCAGCTCTGGCCTGAAGCCAAGCAGCTCCCACGCAGCTGCTGAGCAAGAACAGCCCTTCCACTCGTTGGTCTTGATGGTCCTTTTGCCACCCAGCAGCAAGCTGGGACACTCCTCGCAAAGGCAGCAACAGAGGCAGCTTTGCCCCACCAGAGGAGCTGTGGGAGCTGTGGCACAGAGGACACAGCCCTCCCATGCCATGGTGCTGTAGTGCTTGGATGCCAGGTGATCAGGAACAAGGGCACTAGACCAATTCCAATGACACTTACCCACTCAGAGGTCTGGTTTTTCTGATCTCGAAGAACTGTGTTCCCGTGTGATTGTATCTGTATTTTGTCTGTTAAGGGAAAGTGACTTGAACAGTCAAGCAATAAAATAACACTGCTGAAAAGGTGCATTTCAGTTCTGAGTTCCTGTTGAAACACAAAACAAGCAGTAAAAGCCATTGACTCTCAGATATTAAACACATGGCATGTAAAATAAAGCAAAACTTTTCACTTGTCTTTTTATATGACTTATTAACAGCAGTAGGTGCAGAATCATGTATTAAGGTTGACCATCTAAAACAACACTCAAATTCAGCATCTGAAGGTTATAAATTCTCTTTTCCATTAGGTCCCGCTCATTACTAGGTTGCAAGTTTGAAAAAAAGTCTCCTACATGGGCAAGAGAAAGCTTTCATAGCCTACCCAAACCAATCAATATGATCTGTGGTCTGAAAAAACTCATTTCCTTTAGAAGTCTTTTAACTCCATCAGCCTCATGGCTCACCTGTGACCTGTCAACCAAAACCATTGCAGGTGCATCCCTTCACACTTAGAAAATATAAACCATTCTCTAAAAAATGCAATGCTCTTGAAATGAAAACAACCAGGAAGTCAAGGTCATTACCTAACACTAATAGTAGAAAAGTTCATCACAAATGATGCCAGCAGATAGTCAACCAAATCTCAGCACTACTTTCCTAGAAGCATAGGCTGTCACACAGCAGCATTAATAGAAGCAGCCTCTTCCCTGCTCCTTGAGCATTTCTGTTCAAGTAGCAACACAGTATATCAGAGCAGGAAAACAATTTGTTCAGTAAAAACAAAACAACAAACCCAATTAAGTTAAAAAAAAAAATCACACTGCCCTTATTTTTGACAGGTTACTTTTCCAGTTGAATCTCTTTCCTAATCTAGTACCTAAATTCTATTCCCTCACACTGCGCATGCCAGTAAAACCGGTGATAGCAAGGCAGACACCAGGGCACAAGCAGGTGACCCCATCGAAGCTAAGAGTTGCTTGCAAGGCATAAATAGCACAGCTGCTGGATGGATAACCATCGCCTAAATAAAAACTCCAGCTCTCACCAGGATGCTCTGAACTGACTTCAATTAGAGTTCAGAGTTCTTCACAAACAAGGCTTTACTTCCCCCTCCTGCCTTCAAAACTAATTCATGAGGCCCTTTCAGGGTGCTCTGCACAAAGCAAACATCCTCCTCCAGCCCTCAAAGGAAGCCAGACGCTGCTCCCCAGCCCACTTTGAAGCTTTTCTGAACACAGATCCAAACCCTGTGCCTAAGGCCTGCTCCATAGCAGAATGCAGGATTTCAAAACCACTACAGGGGGAGGTGGGGGATAATGTAATTTTTGGAGCACTGTATGACATGGTATCCTGTCTGGCACAATCCCAGCGAGGAAGAAGCCTCTTGTCCTGGCCAAGTGGCTGCCATAAAGAAGAGAAATGCACCGTCCCCCTGCAGAGCAGGCAGGCCCCAGCCCCCCTGCCCACGGCAGCTGCTGCAGCTCCAGGCCCGGCTGCGCCTTGATCCCAACCACGACTCCATGCGCCTGCTATTTCTGGATGTTCTTCCAGCTGCCTCCTTATTATATCCTTCTTAATCCTTACCAGCACTTTACACTCATTCCTCATCCCCCCAGTTTCCCCACACACACAAGAAGGCAGAGCTCAGAAAAAAAGGGAAACAGAAGAGCAACATCTGGGCCAGTAACCTTCTCTGAAATTATATGTCAGCAATGGAAAGTCAGGAATTGGGCAGTGACAGACAGGCTAGACAGATGTGTAGATCCCTGATGAATCTCCCAAGCAAGGTGGAACATACGGAAGGGAGATGCCTTTGGTCAGTTCCTGTGTCACAGGCAAGCCTGCCCACCTTGGGGTCAGGACAGCTGCTTGTGTCCCTCACCCCAGTGACAAGCACTGCCTGCAGGCTGAGTACACAGGGAACCCACAGGGACTGCCAAGGCAGAGGGAGAAAGGGCTTGCCACAACACTGGCTCTCTCTTAGTCGCTTTATGACAAGATGCCATATTATTTCTCCAGGCATCATGATCCGATCATAATATCCTCATACATCAACATAAGCACCTCTATTCCCACCAATGTCACTTCAGTTAAATTTTTCAGTATAATTTGAAGTTAATTACATCTCCCAGAGGACTGCTATGACAAGCTCAGTGCTGCTGATGCTATCACAAATCCCTGGAGGCGTCCCTTTACCCCCAAATGATCCCAAGCCCTCGCAACCAGCTAAAGCTTCAGTAAAGCTCTGTTAATTCACACCAGGCACAAGTCAGCTTTCTTTCCAGAGACCACGCGCTGGAGAAGGATACTGCAGCATCTTCATGTAGGTCTGTATTGCCTGGAGCCACTCTGGGATTGACATGGAGAGCTTGTAGTTTGGCACTGGCGGGACTGAGGGCTGGACACAAGGAAACAGATAAAGAGGTTAGACAGCCACGGCTCCCCGCAGAGCAGATAAGTGATTTACTGAGCAGCGGCATGTGCTCAGTGCAACACAACGCGGCAGCACAGATGGCTTAAGCCGCACGTGAACTCCAGCATCAGGCAAAGTCATCCTGCTGACCACGGGGGCTGCCCCAGCAGCAGAGCCAGCCCTTCCCTGCACAGAGACCATGGCAGGCTGATCATCAGAGCTGCCAGCATCCCTCAAACACCACCGATGCAGGCAGGCAGTCCAGCACAGAAAGCTTATGCTTTCCATCCCCCGCCCCAGCACAGAGCAGTTTGGATGAGCAGAGTCCCACTACTGACTCTGCTGTTCTCCTTCCCCCAGAAAGCCATTTCAAGTCTAACTTCTGGCCTCCTTTACCACAAGAGAAAGATAAAAGGAGTCAAGGATCCTAGGCTGCATAATTTCCCATCTGCCACATGTCTGCAGCATGCTTGCTGGGGAGGGAGAGCACAGCACCTAGAAGACCACCTGGGACCCAAATATTTAATGACATTAAGACACTTAAAGATATAGACTGGCAACATAATGGGATTTTTCCAAAATCTCGTAAGACATCTGCTTGTGCCTAAGCATTTTAAGAAGGCAGGCCCTCAATCCACACTTAATCCCCACAGCTATTTGGCTCCTGATCCTGCAGCCATGCAGGAAAGCAGCACAGCTTTGTCCCAAGTCCACTTATATTGTATTTGCGGGGTGTCCCGACGTTGGAAGGAATGATTAATCTGACTCTATGTTTTCAGAAGGCTGATTTATTATTTTATGATATTATATTAAAGAATACTAAACTATACTATACTAAAGAATACAGAAAGGATACTTCCAGAATGCTAAAAAGATAATAACGAAACTCCTGACTCTCTCCAGAGTCCCAGCGTAGCTTGGCACTGGTTGGCCAATAAGTCGAAACAATTCACATCAGAAACCCAGTGAAATAACCACCTGATGGTAAACAATCTCCAAACACATTTCAAAGGAGTAAAACACAGGAGAAGCAAATCAGACAACTATTGGTTTTCTTTTTTTTCTGAGGTTTCGCAGCTTCCCAAGAGAAAAATCCTGGGCAAACACAATAGGAAAATATGAATGTCACACACTTATTTCAGGGGTAAGACTGCAAAATATGGGGTCAGCAGATATTAAAGTGGGCAGCATGGCTAAAAAGAAGTTAGCACAATTCTCACACAGTGGAGGAAGCAGTTTAGTTGAATATTAATGCAGATTCATATTCAGGAACCAGCAATTTGGGCAGCTGTGACAAGGTGCAAAGAAAAGCATCTGTGGGACCATGTTGCCATAACCATAGTTTAAAGCTCATAAAGTGACATGTCACTGTCTTTAATACACTCTAAGTCAGCAATTACTGATAAGAGCAGCCAGTTCACATGGTATGAGGCCATCTCTGTCACAAAGACTTTCCCCTCCAGTTCCCACCTCTGTTAAGATTGTGTTTTTGCTTTCAGAAAATGAGCACCGGGAATCCCAAGGCAACAAAACCCAGAATTTACTACATGCAGCAAGTTACTACAGTGAAACAGTAAATGCACCTTGGAGAAGTACTTAAAACCAGAAAAACACCAAACCAGAGACTGCTACACTACTGGCACACAGAAATATACTGTAAGTGGCAAGCAGATGGCAAGGCTTCCAGCTCGCCCCCGCCATCCCAGTGCTACAGGGGCGGGCGCCAGCACACCTGCACACATGGGCTTTCTCTTCTCACCAGTGGGAGTTAAGAGCAAGACTCATTAGCACTTCCTAATCACAGTTTTCCTAAGCTCTTCATTAGAGGCATTTTTTTTGGTTCCACAGATTCCTTTCTCACCCAGCCCCTTTGGGCTGGATGAATTATTCACCTGTCCCTTCCAGCACGAAGGCACACCTGGACTCAACACACCAGATAAGGCTCAAGCTCCAGAAGCAGCAAGGAGCTGACAAAGGGAATTATGGCAGGGCTGTCACACCTTCCTGGGGTGGCCATTTCTGCTCCAATACACTCAGTCCTTTGCTTCAAAGATGCAGAAGTTCTAGATGCATGCATTGCACTTACACAACACGCCGAGGCAATGGGAGCCCCAGCCAGCGAGGGGTCTGGCTGCTGCAGAGATGGGGATTTCATCCTTTTCCCAGCCCTCACCCTGCTGTGGGACCCAAGATAGCATCCCATGAGGATAGCACCAGTGTGAATAGACACAGCCCCTCCTGACACCCACAGTGGCCACTCTCACCAGAGGGGACAGATTCAGACTCCAAATGAGGTGTCCCCAATCTCCAAGGTAGGTGATCACATTATCCAAGGAGGATGATGGCGTCAGATACCAGAGCATAGCCTAGAAAAGAGAACCAGAGTTTTCCCACTGGCTAGAACATTCCAGTTACCTCAGCAGGCCTGCTGAGCCAGGAGGCTCAAGCCCCTCCAGATCTCAGGCAAGAAGGGAGAAGCATCCATAAGCCTGAGCCCACACAGGGCAGCACTGCTCTCCTCTCTCCAGCGCAGGGCAGGCAGTACACACACCATGCTGCCAGCCAGGCCAGGCAGTGGGGAGCCACATGCCACTCCCACTCCTCCCAAACATTTTCCCCTCCCTGATTCCTGCCCCAGCTGCAGGAGGATTGATCCTGGGCATCCACCCAGCATGGAGCAGAAGCCAGGGCTGCACAATACAAGTGCAGGAAAGCACAGCTTTGTTGTGATTGAGGATGCAGCCCTCCAGCTCCTGGTATGCATCCACAGCAGCAAGGAGCAGGCAAGAAGTCATGGATGGCAAGACGAAATGCAGACACAGCACTACAGACCATGAATTTGTAAAGCAAGTGAAATTCAGAGACGAGTCAGATGAAAAGCCTTGACCTTCTATCAGTCTTTCCAAAGAATAGCAGCTCCAGACAGGAGAGCTGCTGCAGTGCGAGACCACGTGGCAGAGCTGGAGACTCATCCCATGGCTGGAAATGCTGTAGTCTCACTTCACCACTGACATCCTGTGTGAAACTCATTTTGGCGATTCCACTGTCTCAGTGACCAGAAAGTCATTTTCTACCAGCTCCCCCTGCAAGCACACTGTTACTCAGCACAGATGAAGCTGACAGGCAAGAGTCCTCAAAGCTGCTGAGAGGTTTAATTTATTACAATCTTCAAGTACCTTCAAGATCACAGAACAGGTAAAGGATTGCACAGCCCTTCCAAACAGTGAGCCTGCACTATTCACAGAGCTCAAGCCAACAGACAGAGGTGGGGACCCCACAGGTTCCAAAAGTGCCCTTGCAGACAAGCCAGCTTTTTGTAAGGACTCTGCCTCCTGAGAGAGACGCAGCTCTGCACCTCTGCAGTTTGCATTTGTTCCAGTAAGGGCAACTTCACAGACACAGTCAGAAGCTACTTACCACCCTGCGTGTATGATTGCTGAGACTAATGCCAAGATGATTAGAGCAATCAAGTGGAGCTTCTTGAAGAGGGTATGAAAACTCTCTCCCATCACTAGGGATTAAGAACAGATCAGATGCAGAAATGGAGCAGTTGCACATGCCACTCACTCAGTCTGAAGCAACCACCAATGCAAGCAGATTACAAGTCTTCTCACAGGCACAAGTTTCCCTCACCACTCCCAAACAGCAGTACCTGGTCTTTTGCAGGGTGACACATACCCAGCAGCACAAGCCAATTAAGATAATTTGTACCACCATTTAAGGAACAAGTCTCCACTCACATCCCTACTCTGACCCAGAAATTACCATCACAACTTTGGTAATCCACTACCACTTTGTGGCAAAAAAACCCTGCTCCTAACCTTCAGTGGTGAAGTGAGATTTGCTCCCCTGAACTGTGCTGGTCCTAATAAGAATCAGCTAGTCCTCAAACTACTCTCTGACCCCAGAAGTCCCACACTTAGCCAGCAAGAGCTACTTAGTCACAGAGGGCACCAGGTCCTCCAGCCCCTGAAGAAACTAATCACTGTAACAGGGATTTTGCTTCTGGGGAGTACAGGAGGAGTACAACTCCTACAGCACTGGGCACTGATCATCAACATCGAATGATTTGGCCAGGCAGATTTCAAAACATTTTTATTCTGCCCAGCTTCCACACATGCTACAGAGAGTGAGCCCAGAGCTGTGGCACTGAGGAAGAAGCCATGGGCAATGCTCTCTGGGACATTCCCACAGGAATACAGTATGCAGACCGGCACACTGGAGCCACTAGCATGTCTCTCACCAGATGCTTTGTCAGTCACCACAGGTGTCACCAGTAAAAGTTACATAGAGCTGGGAAGTAAAGGATGAAAGTCAAGTCTAGCGCATGCTTTGCCATCTCTTAACACCAAATGGGCTTGCAGGCCATCTAGACTGGCATAAGCTGGTCAGGCTGCTGAAACAAGAAGTTCTGCCCAGTCCCTGCCCCTTCATTTCCACCTCAAGTGCTTGTGTAAGCACAAGATGAACCACACCAAGAAACCACAAACTCAGCATAACCTGATTATTCTTTAGTTAGATATGCTCCCCCATCCGAACAAAGGCTGGTTCCAGCACAAGGAGAGCAGAGGGAGATGGTCCCTTTTGCACCTGCCCTGGATTGAGCATTGCAGAAGAGAGAAGAAAGGCCTTTTCAGCCTGCAGCTTATTTGACAAGCACCTTCCCAATACAGCCCTACACAACAAGATTTCAACTGTGCACAAAATTTCCTTTCTACTCCACGAAAAGAACAGGCATATGGTTCATGTCAGTATCAATGACAGCTTGGACCATGACAGCAGCAGCCCGACCATCTCACCCCAGCACGCAGAGGGGTACGAACCAAGCCAGACTTCAGCGGTCAGCTCACATTAATGCTGCTTGATGTGAGGAGGGAATCAAGCTCAAAGTCTGCCAAAGCAGACAGTGTTAAAGACATTGTGATCAGTAATACAGCACAGTGTCAAGAAGCCTTGCAACAACAGCAGACCTCAACATTTTATTTGCTGTCTGGAGGAAAAAGACTTGGGTGAGACAGAGCTATTTGGGGCTTGTACTGAGGAACGTACCAGACAAAAGCATTTGGAATCTTTCCACATACTGGAAAATAAATGTCTGAGTTTTAAATCCCTTGTTACATTTGAGGAGCAACATTGTGCTTAAGGAAACCCTACTGTTCCAAAAGCAAAAGAAAAACCTGCTTTAAATTGCACAAACTGCTTCACTCAGTTCCCGAAGATTTCTTTTAACTTTTGTTTTCTGGGTTTTTTTCTCCCCAAGCAAAAAGGAGTGATTTTTTTCCTGCTTGCTCTCCAGGACACCCACTGCAGCCCCTGAGCACCCCGCAGCCCCCGTACTCCGTTCTGAGCGCTTTCGCACAGCAGACGCAGAAGTGCACCCTTCTCCCCTGCGCCCCGAGAGCATCCTCCGGGCTGCGGTGTCACACCCTCGCACCCGGCCCTGGAGCCTCCCCGGCCGCTCGACGCGCACAGAAGGCGGCAGCCGCCGGCCCCCGACCTCGGGCTCGGTGTCACCCGCTCCTCCCGCACGAGGGGACCCACGGCAGCTTCGCCTTACCCGAGCCAGGCGGGCGGCGCTCCGGATGGCCGCCGCCACGGCACCGCCGTCGGGGTGCACCCGCTCCACGTGGCCCCACATCCGCTCCCAGGTCTGCCCGTCCATGGGGAAGCCGCTCTTGTTCACCAGGAAGAGCGAGCCGCCGTCCCGCTGCTCCTCCTCCTCCGAGCCCCCGCCGCTCCCGC